TTCCAGGCAAGGTGGGGATAAAGGGAGACCCTTTCTAAAAAAAAAAAAAAAAAAAAAAAAAAAAAGTGAACAGAGTGAAGTCTTTGTCCACATAAGGAAGTGCTTTGAATTGGATCCAGGACCTGGAGAGATGGGAGTGGGCTGTGGCAACAGGGGAACAGAGCCGAATCCATGACAAGCACAGACACGAGGCTGTGGTGGCATCACCCTGTGGGTATGACTGTCGGGACAGTAGATGTCCCCTAATGCCATCTGCCTGTTGGATAATTCGGGAAACCGAGCAGCAAATGGGCAGGTTTATGTGGTGAGCAGTGTCTATCTCCCTACCACTACATCTCTGCCCTGAGATTTTGGCCTCCTCACCCCTCACTAAGCCAACACTGATCACAGTGGATGCTGTAGACCTCAAAGCCTGGGTCCTGAGGTGCTCCATGCCCAGCCAGGCCTGGGTGACCTCGGTGACCCGCAAGCCTCATGAGGGCAGAGACTCAGCCCCAAACCCCACATGCCAGTGTCACTGAACTTGTTCATTTGCTAAGCAGCTGTCCCTTGGCCCCTCCCCACATAGCCCAGTGGGCTAAATAAGACTGTTAGATAGGAAAGAGATTGGACACCTGGGTCTCCCATCCGGGCCCTGCTCACTTGCTATGGTTTGATGGCTTGGGGACATCAGAGGAAAGTACAAAGGCAGGCATGGAGCCTCAGAGCGCCAGCCATTTCTCACAGGAAGCCCCCTCAGAGCATCCATCCTACATGCTTCACCCCACGGCCTGGCAGTCGGGCCCAAGGCCAGCCTCCCAGATGCCCAGTGGTCACTGCATCCTCAGGTCACCATCGCCACCGTTAACAAAGAGCTGAGGGCCCTCCAGGCCCAGTTTGAGGAAGCCATCTCCACCCACGAGAGAGAAGCTGAGGATTTGAGAGAGAGGCTCCGGGAGATGGCGGCAGAGCGGAACAGTGTTCAGAGAGAGGTAAGAATGTGAGGCAAAGGGCGCCAACAGGGTGGGGTGCTGGAGAAAGGGAGCAGCCAGGGCCAGGAAGAGCGGAACAAGTGCTCCACTTGATGCAGCTTCTCTTGGAGTGAAATGGAACCCAGCTCCTGCCATCCGTGGAGCAAAAGAGCTGTGGCTCAGTGGAAGGTTTCTAGCTGAAAGTGATGGATTTCACTTTCTGAGAAAGGGACCTGACTGAGCAGAGCCCTAGTCAAGTACCAGCAGAGCTGCTGTGGGATGCTATGGGTGGGTGTGTTTGGTCCCAGTCATGGCTCCCACAGGCCCTGCCCCACCACAAGAAGACCGCAGAGCACCTATGCTCCTGGTGGGACACCAGGGGAGGAACTGGTCAGAACTGCATAGCCCAGGTTCCAGGGCCTCCCTGACCCAACTTTCACTTCTGCACACAGTTCGGAGATCGGGAATCAGATCCAGGGACCTGTCATTATACAGTGGCTGCAGCTTCCTCCCAAGGCCTCCTAAGTGGCTACTATGAGCTGGGGTGGGGGAACCATCATCCAAGAAACTTGTCCAATTAACAAGCCATGAAGAGACCCTCCAAAGAGCTGGACTCTGACTGCACAAGAGGCCTGGACTGTTGGATGGAGTGCTAGGGTAGAATAAGGGGGGCTTGGAGAGCCTGGGGTTACAGGGGCAGAAGTGGGGTGGTAGTGGGATTCTCAGGGACAGTTATAGGCCTGGCCAAAGCCTTGATGTTCACACAGAGTCCCCAGGAGCCATATGATCACAATGTGGTGGGAGAGTCTTGGGAGGGGCCAGAAGAGGCCACGGCTAGGCCAGGCAGGGGCCCAGCAGGCAGGCAGATGGAAAGGTGTTTCTGAGGCGTTCTGACAGGACTTGGGGACGCCTGGGAGAGGCGAGGGCAGGAGGGCATGTGGATTGGGGCTGGAGGGGGGCTCAGCCAGAACCCAGGTGGGGTCTATGGCGACAAAGCAGCCTCACAGCTCCTGGGCTGTGTGCCAAGGCTGGCAGGCAGGGCAGCTGGCCTGGGTTGGTGGGGAGAGGGGCTCACCCTCCCCAAGCATACCCCAAGGGGCCGGCCGAGAGCCTGGGAGAGGAAGAGAGCATGACTGAACATGACGGGCTGTTTACATTGGCCCCAAAGAGAACAGGCTCCTTCCAAAAGATTTCAAAGTCAGCCTGGTCAGCGGCCACACGGGGAAGCAAAGTGAGATTTCAAAACTGGGGGCAGCAGGGGGAGAAGCTGGGGATGGGGCCACATTTATTCTGGTGAGATGAAGGACACGGGCCTCACAGCAAGGCACAGAAAGGCAACCCTTAAAACGGACTGGGAGGACAGGAGGCTGAAAGGCAAGGACACTCCAGGGAGGAGAGGGGCTCTCAGGGAGAAGCAGGCAGAAGAGCCTCCCAGGCGCCAGGCTGGCCCAGGGTTGCCATGGAAACCACACCATTTCCCCCCCACACTTTCAACTGGAGGAACTTTGAGGCTCTCAGCCCTTCCTGAGGTTCACCCACATGTGCATACACACACATGCAAACCCACATGTGGACATATGTGCACATCCTGTGTAGCTTGAGACCACATTCACATCTGTGGACACCGATACACATAAAGTGGTGCATGCAACACTGGGTAGCATGCATACACACACCCCATGCACTCACACACTATACATGAAAGCACATATGATGTGCACGGGGGTGAATAGCAAACACGTGTACATACATAGAAGCATGCCCATCATACATATGTAAACAAACACATTTACACACATACATCCTCTGGGCGCAAAGCAACAAACACATGTATACAACACTCACACATGCATGCATACACGCACACAGGCCAGCCCATTGCCACCCTTCTGCCCTCCTCCTGCAGAGCTCTGGAGTTGCCTCCCTGCGGGAAATTTCAAAAGAAGCTGTTTATACAACTTCTAGTAAAGGAATAATTATTATAATCACATTAAGCGATTTGGCTGTAAAATTCCTGCAAAAGGGATGGCTAGCCTCAAGAGGCAGGAGGCGGGGGTACGGGGCAGCAGGGGGGAGGGGCCAGGCCGCAGGGGGGGCCCTTCCCCCATTCGTTTTGCTTGTTTCCATCCCCTCTGCTCCGGGAAATGCGTGCAGCTCCTTTTATGATGGACAGGCCCTTTCCCTGGTCCTTGACCTTCTGTGGATTCTGCTGAGCTCAGCGGAAAATGCTCTGCACAGTTGTGGCTCCCACATGTGGGGGGTGGGTGGGGAGCAGCAGGGAGGCCCCGGCCCTCCCCCAAAACAGAACAACAATAACAGCGGGCGGACTCTGGAGCCAGGCCGGCCGGGGACCTGGACAATGTCCCAAGAAAACAGCCAGCAAAAAGGGGTTTGCTTTTTGGCAAACCAGCCCCTCAACATCTCTGAGATCTTGTGGCTTCCCCTCTCCCCTCTCGGCATGTCCTTGCTGGCTTCCTCAACCTCTTCCCTGGGGACACCCGAGAGCCAACATGGAGCCTTCTCCGAGGCTTCTGGTTAGGGTTGTAGCTTGGGACTGCAAGGCCTCAACAAGTCCTTATACCATAGCTTGGGAGCTTGGTGAGGCCTCTCCTCCAGACCCTTCCATGTGGGATCTGTGGGGCCTGGGTTCCCAGAGATACCTTGTGCCCCAGGGCAGCAAACCAAGATCTGGCTTCCCATGTCTCAGCCTAGGGGTTGGACTCATATAACTGCAGTGTGAAGACACTGACCTGGTTCCAGCATGATAGTGTCACCCTCTGGATTCTGCGCCAGCCTTCAGGGCACAGAACTCACTCCCATGGCTCCTTCCCCTTCTTAGGTCAGCTCACAGAGGTGGCCCTAGCCCAGGGGTGGGGTAGGGGCTCAGGTAGCTCTGTTGGCTCCAAAGCCAGCCTGCCATGGGTCTGAGGGCTCCAGTGGGTTGAGCCTTACCTCATGGAAGACTCCTGTGATGGTGAGCAGCAGAGCAGCCTGACCCAAGGGACCACATCTGATAGAGAATTCAGAAAGCATGGGTGCCTGAGACCCTCCTTCCCCACATCTCCCACCCCATTGGGAGAAGGGAAGAAAGAGGCTAGAGAGGCCTCCTCTGAAGTTGCCAGTGCCAAGTGCCAGCCTGCTGACCAGATGCCCAGATGGTTATTGAAAGAGGAGCAGACCCTGGGGCAGTGGATAGAAAGGGCCATCAGCAGTGGCAGCTGGATTCGGGGATAGTGCAGATGTATGGACAGGGCCATGGCCTGGGCTGGCCCTATTGACCATCAGTCCCCATCCCAGAGTTCCAGGGAGCAATCAGGGCAGGCCCAGGCCCAGGAGGGGTCTGGGTGAAGGTTACCTGGGCTCTATACCCCAAGGGTCTGCTGTCTCTTTCAAATGCTAGGTGACCCAGGGCTGCCCAACCAAAGTCAGAACCCTGTGTTCCCTGTGGTTCCTGGAGCAGCTGCCTGTGCACCCATGGCCCATGGTCCCCAGTTGCCCACTAAAGCATGTTCTTTTCTCAGGCGGACAGGCTGCAGGCACAGCTGAACATGGCCCAGGAAGGGCTGACTGAGCTACGCCAAGAGCTTCAGGGCAGTGAGGAAAGTCGTGAGAAGCTACACAGGGAGGCCCTCGAGGCCCAGCGGGCCCTGGACAATGAGGCTCGAGAGAAGGACGTGTTGCAGCTCTCCAACACTGAGCTGAGGGCCATCATCCGCAGGACTGAGCAGGAGAAAGCCAGGTATGGCAGCCGCTTTGTGGAGTAGCTGCGGGGAAACCTGCCATCCTGCTGTTTAACCAAATTAAGGTTCGGGACAGGGCATCAGGCATCCTGAGCTGGACCAGACAGACTGTGCAGGAGTCCAGCTGCCAAGTTTAAAATGCCCACAAGTGGGGCTGGAGAGACAGCTCAGCAGTTAAGAACACTGACTGTGAACTGGGCATAGTGGCTCTTGCAGAGGACCTAGGTTCAGTTTCCAGCATCCACATGGTGCCCAACAACCATCTGTAACTCCAGTTCCAGGGGATCCAAAGCCTTCTTAGGCAAAACATTCATACACATAAAATTAAAAATAAAATAGGTCAAAATAATTTAATCCCCCAGGCGTGGTAGCACATACCTTTAATCCCAGGACTCTGCCTCCCAAGGAGGCAGAGGCAGGGGGATCTCTGTGAGTTCGAGGCCAGCCTGGTCTACATAGTGACCTCTAGGCTAGCTGGGGCTACAGGGAGCCCGTGTCTCAAAAAAGACGAAAAAAAAAATTAATCCCAAAAAGTACCAGTTTATGCAGGGAGGCTAGGGATCAGGCCAAGCTGTCCTTGTCTTTGAGGAGCTCCCATCCAGCAGGCCTGACAGGCTAAGGAGCTGTGAGCAGAGAAGCAGTCTGTGCTTGACATGGGGTCTCTGAAAGTGTAACAGAGAAGCAAAATAGGGTGGGCTAAAGAGGAGCTGCCAGGTGACAGTGGACACTGAGCACACTTCTGGGGATTGAGACTTGGATAGACCTGAGCCAAAGATAATGGGGAATCCTATTGGGGGCTGTCTTGGGCAGAATGTAGAGTGCACACAGGGGACAGCATCTCCCCAGGGAGGCTTTGTCTGGGAAGCTCTAGGCCCAGTGTCCAGCCAACTTGTGGCCTGCTCAGTTTGAAACAGTTAAAGGAGGAGCAGAGGCAGAAGCTGCTGGTGCTGCAGGAGGCCCAGGCCGCAGCTCAGAAGGAGGCCTGTGAACTGAGGGCCAGGCTTCGGGACCTGGAGCAGGCACAAGGGGATAGCCGCCGGGAGCTCCAGGAGCGCCACAGACAGGTGAGGGGCTGCTACCCAGCCAGGCTGCCCCCAGCCCTCCTCCCCCATTCCTGCCTCACAGCCATCCTGGGTGCCAGTTTCTAACCCTGCTCTTTTGTGGAGTGCCACTGGCCAGAACCACCCTGCTAGTGAGAGCCTTAACAAACTCACAGCTGCCTCCACACCACCCATACTCCCAGCTCAGCGTTCTTACTCAGAGGAGGTCTAGGTATGCCTCTGCAAAGTAGCAAAGAACGGCTCCCAGGACCTCTGCTGAGGTCCCTGAGTGTTGGCAACTGTTAAAAGGGAGGACTTATGAGCTGAGGCAGGGATCAGAGAGGCTGCTGGGTTCCTGGCCCATCATTGCCACCTCACATCCCAGGTGAGGGTACTGGAAACTGAGAACCAGAGGACATGGCAGGAGGTGAGTGAGCTGCAGGCTCAAGGCTCACAGGACTCACAGCAGCGGCAGCAAAACCGGCGGGAGGCACTGGAGCTGCAGAGGCAGGTGGTCGAGGCCCAGGTTGCCTGTGAGGGTGCCCAGAAGGAGGTCGGATGGCAGCTTGCCCCTCCCAGAGGGATCCCTGAGCTCTAGTCCAAACGGGCACAGGCAAGGTCTGTGGGAACACCCAGGAAGGACCCCTCAAGGGAAGGCATACAGCAGTGGATGGGGATGGTAGAGAGAGGCCAACGAGTCTACTTCCTTTCTGACTTGTCCATTCACAGCCCCCTTGATAACCAAACATGTGCAGCAAAGGTGGGCAAGAGGAATCCTCAGCAAAAGGTTCAGCTAGAGCTGTAAGCTCCCAATTTCCCTGGCTTTCTATTTTATAAAAGAGCCAAGTCCTGCCCAGGTGTCAGGCACAGTTCTGAGCAGGGGACAGGCAGGGAGGCCTCAGGACACTGAGCTCACGCAGAGGCCATCACCTGCCCACATCACACACACCCGACCCCTGCATACATGACCCCATGCCCAGCTCACATAGGCCCACACTAGCTCCCAAGACTGTTCAGCCACAGTCAGAGCTGTGGGTTCAGTGTGCTGAAGTGGGTACTGTGTGTCACAAGAGCCAGAGGGAGCAATCCCCAGCTTACATAGGCTCCTGTTCAGACCCAAAACTGCATGCCTGCTCACTTTGAGCACCAACTACTCTGAGAATGTAAGGCTTGCCTCCCAAGCCTGTGTGACCCAGAATGACTTCAGTCCCACACCTCCTTCTGTGAATAAGGTTACTGTTATGCTACAGCCACCCGGAGTATGACCCAAGATGAGTCCAGGCCCTGTGCCCTTGCTAATACACAAGTACGTAGGGTGCAGGCGTTGTCCCAAGGTGAGCAACATGGCAGAGCATTCTTGGGTCATGACCAGACTCTGCGGCAAATGAAGAGCGGTGGCTAAGGTGGGTCCTTGGGAGGGGAGGACAGCCTGCCTGTGCCTTAACTGACTGGGGCTTTGCAGGCACTGCTAGCAGAGCTCTCTGTTGCTGAGGTATGTGCCACCATATTGACCTGACATGGGCATGCCCACCTGTCAAACACACTGGGAGGTAGATCCAAGGTCCCCTCCAGCTTTGACCTTCCATAGGATGATGCTGAGAGTATTCCAAAGGCATATAGAACCAGGTCCCCTGCTGGTCTGGCTGCACCCTTGGTCATTAAGTCCTGGTGTCAGGAGCCTCATCTGAGCCCCAACATTCCTCCTGCAGGTCCTGGGGCTACAACAGAAGTTGGCTGAAGCAACAGCTGCAGGGGAGGCCCGGGTAAAGCAGTTGGAGGGACATCTCTGTGAGAGCCAGAGGGCTGAGCAGACCCTGCAGACTGAGCTTCGCAGTATCTCTAGGAAGCTACAGAAGTCCAGCAGTCTGGCTGACAACCTCCAGGCTCGCCTGGACAATGCCTGTGACCGGGTCCACAGCCTAGAGAAGGAGCTGGCCCAGGCAGAGGATGCCAGGAAGGATGTGGAGGCCCAGCTGGGTCAGCTATGCTCCACACTCCACAGTAGCCTGGGGCTCTGGGGGTTCTTGGCCTCTCCAAACAGGCCTGACTCCCCCACAAGAGGTCAGTACTCTCCACTCTGCTGTATCCCCAACCTGAGTACCCCAACCCCTCTCTAGGCCTCACAACTCGGACTCTAAGGAGGCCAGACAAATCCCAACAATTTTGGAAGTCTGTGCGCACCTCAGTCCTGCTCCAAGCTCCCATGGTTAGGAGCCACAGAGAGAAAGGCAGATGGCACCTGCATGTCTGATCCACCCACATCCCCTTGGTTGTCACCTCCTGCAGGCCGCTCGCAGGCTCACCCTGGACGGAAAAGAGCCAGTTCCCCTACCAAACCATACTTGCCAGTCCGATGGCCCTCACCTGCACCTGGAGACCCTGACTCAGAGGTCATGGATGTGGCCTCTGTGCGGGATGCCCTGAGGGACCTGATTCAGAAGCTTCAGGACACCCAGCAGGAGCGGGTAAGGTGGGGCTGAACTCTCTCTCTCTCTCTCTCTCTCTCTCTCTCTCTCTCTCTCTCTCTCTCATCTTAATACATATCTCTAGTTGGCTAGCTAGCCTCG